TTATTAGGAGAAGTGCACAGCAGCATAGATTGTTGAGTCTAATTCTACAAGCAAAACTGTTCCCTTTTTAAGCCCAAGTCCCCTCCTGCTCCTTTCTTTTCCCGCTTGAAATTCTTCGCGCCTCGGTCTGGTTCTCACAACGCCTGGCCTTGGAGATGCCCTGGAGATGCCCGTGTGGAGATAAAGATAACAGCACCTGCCCTCCTCTCCCCCCTTCAATGGCAGGTCAAGCAAGCGGCCTGCAACTAACATTCTTTCTATTAACTCTTTACTAGGCATAATAGAGCTAAATGAAAAGCAATCAAAGGTTATAGCTTGCATAGATCCTGACACTCTGATGAGTGGGGATCCCTCCCCGCCCCTCTCAGCATGCCAGGGTTTAGTGAGGAAGGATCTCTGCTGCCTTTCAGCACCCCGTGGCACCAGACGCCCTCCAGAGCGATGGCATCCATTTCCCAGAATTCCCCAACCAGCAAAATCGGGGCTGGGGTTGAAATCTGGACACCAGGAGGGTGCCCAGGACTCAGGCAGGCTAAAGACACCCTCTTCGGACTGACAGTCGGCGGGCACCAGGAGCTAACTCCGTCCTCCTTTTCCAGACCCCCCCAACACTCATCCCCTTTGACCCCCAACGCCGTGGGATCTCTGGGCGCGGTAGCCAGAGTCCCTGAGCACGCTCCCCCCCTCAGCTCAGCTCAGCTCAGCTCAGCCCAGACAGACAAACTCCAGCCATGTAGAAAAAGCAAGGGAGGCATTTCTTCTTCATCGGGGGAAGCGGCTGGCACAGCCCAGGCCGCCCGGGGGCTTCGGCTGCCGCTCTGGGGGCTCGAAGCAGGGCGTGTGGTTGCTGGTGCCGAGAGAAAGGCGGGCGCTGCGAGGGAAGGTGGAGATGAGTCAAGGCACAGAGGCTGGGAGCGTTCGGGAAGGGGCGCTCCGCAAGGAATCTTTGGTTTGGCAGCATCTGGGAGATGGGGGAGCGCGTCTGCTTCTCCTGTGGTGGTACCCCCTGCACGCCCGGGGCAGTCCCAGAAATGGGGGGCTTCCTTTGGTCTAGAAAGGAGTCCAGTGCAGGGCTGGGCGGCGCAGATCAGGGCCGTTCAGGGGCGCTTCGTCACGGGCAGCATTTGGTCCGCTTCCTCTTCTCCGTCAAGTACAAGTCCCGCTCGTCCCCGTGGATCCCTGGAAGGGGAGCACAGCCCATGGCCTCGCATCCACAGCCCGGCCCCCTTCTCCCCACGGGGCCACGAGTCTGCCGCAGGAAATGCGGGGGGGGGCACAGCCGGGCAAGGAGCCTCTGCCTTGTGGTCCAAACCTGACCTGGAAGGGTTCTCCGTCGGGCTGGCGGAGAGCCCCCCCCCGCCCCCAGGAGTTGTCCTCAGACCTGCTCTCCATTCCTGGCTTAGATTTACATCTGCCATCCCTTCAGGAGCGCCTGGCCACGGCCACGGCCACGGCCCTCCTCCCTCCTCTGCTTTTCCCCATACAACCACTCTGCGAGGTCAAGAGAGAGGGACTGACCCGCCAACCCCCCCGGAGCTTCTGAGACCGAGGGTGAACTGAACCTGGGTCTCCCTGCGCCATCCGACCTGACCCCCTCGACTGCTGGATGGAGAGATCTTTTCCTGCCGCCCGGCTCAAATGCCCCCCGCCCTCTGAGGGGAGAGGACGCTCTGCAGCACAAAAGAGTCGCTTTCACTCGGCCCAGGGCTGAGCCT